GAGACTTCGTCCTCGATTAGTGTAACTAACTCAACAGATTGAGCGGTCTGTTGAGTTGAGGAAGGTCGTCGTCTTCTATGTAGAGAAGCTCCCTCCTCGCTAGCTTTTCCATTATCGCCAATTATCACGGTATCTATGGTCGGCCCGGGAGGAGGGCTCGTCACCACGACATGGGAAGAGCATTCTTCTCCCTCTTATTCTTTCCTCCGACTGCAGAGGAACGCCTTCTTTTTGGTTGCTTATTCTCCGACCGGGGACTCCGAGAAGAAGCACTTGCACCAGAAGCAGGCCCGGAGATGCCTGTCCATGAAAAAGCTTTTTGCAGCAGCCTCGCCGCATCAACAGGATCAACCAAAATGTCCTCATCGGGGACAACAACTGAGCCTTGGGGTAGACCTATATTCAACTGGGGAAAGAGTTAGATAACTTTCTCATAAGAAAGGTTAAGGACATAATGAGTTAAACTTACTATGATTTTTGGCCTTCCACCTGTATTTCAGGGACAACTCTTTCCACGAGCTGGTTCGGGCGTGGTAACATCCAAAATCTTCTAAACCTATTAGTCCAAGCCTCAACCCTAGGGGGAACCCACCGAGCCGCTGAGGCAGGAAAATGATGAAAAGTTAATAATGACGAGGAAAGGATCTTTAACAAGGAAAGAAGTAGATTATATACTTACGAGTGCGATTCCACAGTTCCCAGAAGGAAGGAGCCGAGGCCGGGATGATGTCACTAGTGACAACTGAAACAAACCGTTCCATCTACCCACGGTCATTATCATCATCCATGCTATATAGCAATGCATGGTGGCCCCACTTGCTAAAGTTGATCATTCCCTCACGGAAGATCTTGGGGGAATAAAAGTTTATCATATGAGCTAAAGTTAGCTCATCCCCCGTCTCCTGGCACAGGCGTCGAAGGCAAGAAATCGTCCTCCACACGGAGGGACTCACCTGTGCCAAACACACTTGATAGTATGGTTGTGCATAATTTGGTAAATACCAAATTACCATACTGAAACTGAATATTTTGGTATTTGGTATTCGGTATGGTATTTGGTTTATGTTTTAAAAAAATATGGTATTAGGTATGGTATTTAGTATTTTAAAATAAAATACTGAAATACTGATACCGTACCGAAATATATATTATATTACACAAAACGTATATTATTAATTATAACATAAATATAAAAAATCTAAAATTTTACTTTCCTTTATTCTCTAAGTTCATCAATTAACTCTAAGCAAGTAAGAAGACATATCTAATCATCAAATTTATTCCTTTATGTGTAGTTTTCTCTCTCTAGATTGATATTTGTTGGTTTTGGACAAACCTTTTGTCAACAAACGTTTTTAGTTTTGTACTTTTTATTACTTTAATTAAGAATATTATAGTCTATGTCTCTATGCATTTGTTAGTATGCAAACCGAATAAACCGAAAGGAGAAAAATCGAACCATACCAAAAATATCGAACCAAAATGTCTAAATATCGTACCGTACCGACCGACGAACACCCCCTATTTGATAGCGGAGTTAAAACTTCTCAATGACGGAGTCAAGCTCTCCACTCAGAGAAAATATCCCCAAAGTGAAGGGATACGTATAGAAGTACGTAAAATCCTTCTTGGGTAAGGTTACTCGCTCCGCCAGGTCGGGAGAGATAATTTTAAGTCCTGGCAATGGCAGTCTTCCTTCACAGCAGTAATGTTGGACGGGCGGATGGAAGAAGGATATTGCTAATGGCCCATGTACGAGGGCTAACAGAATGAAATTTCTCTTCGAAGTCTTTTGTTGTAACAAGACTTTTAGGGATGATGGTGCTCACTGTTGGAGGAGCAGCGTCCTCGGCTTTGTTCTTGTTCTTTGAGGAACTGGTATTCTTTGAAGAAGAAGCCATTATATGTTATGGAATAATGAAAAGTTTTTTCGTTTGAAGAGAGTTAAAGAAATATTGAAGAATAGAATACAAGTTGAATAAAAAGAGTTTTAGAGAGTTTGAAAAGTTATAGAGTATGAATGAAGGAGGTTGATGCGTATAAGTAAAGGTTTATACGGCTAAATTAGTGGCCATGATTACCTCAATAACGGGCAAAAGTTATGCAGAATCGTGGGATGACACATGTTCGGGGCATTAAATGAGGAGAGATGTGCATCTAATCAACCGTCAGAAGCTTTTCAGAGGGAATTATAGTAATTTTCGCCAAAAAGAGTGTTTCTACGAACTTCCCGATGACACAAAATTATGTCACCGGAAAGCAGGGGGACTATCTATATAGGGTAAAATATACTATAATAAGTGGCCGCATAAGAGAGTGACACGTGGAGCCTACGGTGGGGGATAGTTAAAACTGAAGGCAATTATCCCGTTTGTCACTGGAAAGAATGACACTCGTAAAGATGCAATAAATACCCTCTGCCCGGTAGCATTTAATAGAGAATATTCCACAATATTTAGTACACTATCCGTTACAGAGAATTTGTCATTTATGCTCACTGTTGCACCTTCTTCAATAGCCCTCATAATTGACATTAAAGAAGGGCATGATCCTAGGAACTTGTTCCCTAGGTGCATCTATAAATAGTGAGCTTTGTTATTATTGTAAAGAACACGACCCTTCTGGCAAACTTATGCTATAATCGATTCAAAGCTTTATACAATTTTATCTTCTTATTCCTTGATTTTATTATTGTTGTGCCCGGAAGCCCTGCTCCCTGAATTACTGTTTTCTGCCATTTTATCCTCACTTCAAGGCTAAGTATTGCGTATTTTTTTTAATTATTTTATTATTTTAGGATTGAATTAATTCATTTATCTAGAAATCACGTATAAATTTTATTGTACTTTTTTACGGGTAAACGATGCTATTCTGTTTCATTAGGAAACAATGTCATGTTCTACGAATTAAATATTTAAACTTGTGTGTTCTTGAGAGCGGATGGAGTGTTTTTATTTATTTGTAAATTTTTAACTAGTTTGCTACTTGTTAATTTTTCTGCATTGTTCCTTGAGTTAAGGGTCTATCGGAAGTGACATCTCTATCTCTATAAGATAGGGGTAAGGTCTGCGTACACACTACCCTCCCTAGACCCCATTTATGGAAATACATTGGGTTTGTTGTTGTTATAAATTTTCAACTAACTTGATTCGACACAGGTGTTAAGTTAAACTTTTATATAATCACAAACATCTTACCTAAATTACAAAAGACTTCCACCTTAAATATTAAGATTACAAAAGTTGTCCTCATCATTTCAGGATTTATGTAGTAAAAGTAGTTTAATGTCAAGCCCCCATACGATTTACAATATATAATTGCATGGGGGCCAGATTTTTTGTTTTCTCATGTATGATTGAACGCCACGGAATTATATCTCAAAGAGGGGAAACAGATTGAAATAAACTATTTCAACAATTTTTCTATATTCGTAAGTAGCCAAGTAGGACAAAGAGGTTTAAGTTTTCGAGTTCTTGAATCAGTAATTAGTTAAGGGTTTATGACTTTGAAGTTTGAATCATATCTTAGAAACAAGCTTAAGTGTATACTTATAAGTTATACGTAACTATTACGGAAAAGGATCATAATTGCAGCAACATATAGTTACCAAACCTAGCTCTTTGTTTTTTTAAAATTTTTCTCCCCTTTTATCCTTCTTTCTTGGAGTTATTAATTCTTTAGTGACTCGCAACTCAAGAAGAGTGCTAACTATATGAGCAACCCGTCTTGTCTCCCAAACCTAGCTTCCTACCCCTATAAGCCAATATGAGTCTCTAGTTCATAATAAGAATTGGCTGCGTGAAGAAGCCAACTTCGTTGTAAGTACTAACATTAATTTAAGATTTCGATATGCCGGACTTTTAGGTAGGGGTGCACATAGGTCGGGTTGGTTCAGATTTTGCAATTACCAAACCAAACCAATTGTATCGGGTTTTTAAATCTATAGACCAAACCAAACCAACAAAAATCGGATTTTTCAATATCGGGTTTTCTCGGGTTTCTCGAATTTTTTTCGATAAATTTGTGCTCCAAATATTTACACAATTTACACAACCATGTAACTATAGTAATTGAGCTTTCCAAATGATATTTTTTCTGTCAACGCAAAAATACCAAAAAAATAAACTGCATATCATATTTCACTATACATAAGAATTATCATCAACTTTTTAAGAGTAGACATTACACCCAAGAGTCCAAAAAAAAAAGAGAATATATTAAACTCTAAGAAGTTGGGCATCTTAGTAGACATTACAACCAGAGGAGCATGTTTTCAAAATACTTGTAAAGGCATAATGACCTCACTTCCGGCCTTTGGGAGATATGCTGCAGTTCTATCCTTTCCCTTAGGATAATTTTTGCAATACCTGAAATATTTGTAAATAATTAAATATTTTAGGCCTGACGGAAGGTGATAGACAACTTTTTGTCTTTCATGACCAAAATCTCATCACAATAAAGGTCTCTACTTTATAAATTATTTTTTATTTTACACCAAAATTCTAATAAAAGTTTAAAGCAATTGACCTGTCCAACTTCAATTGAACCTTAGATAAACAATTAGAAAGAGCAGGTTGAAGAACTCCTCTCACTTTTTTCCACTCAAAGAAAGGGAGAAAAGAGAATACTTGAACACAATAAGATAAAAGAATATTAAAAGCTTTTATTGAATGCGTATGTGAAGAACTGAAGATATATTAAGGCAGAGTATATATGAAGGAAACACTGAACGGCCATACTTAAAGGTTTTCGAGAAAGAAAGGAAACCCAAATTAACTGAACTTTAGTTAGAAATATATCCTATCATGGACAGATCAATTGCTTTAAGTATTGTAAAAAGTCTAATTTCTTCAATTGCTAAATCAACTGAACCTTAGAGAAACAATGTAATACAAAAGCTTCTTAATTGATTTAAAACCATGCACCAACTTTCTTTTAATTAATTACCTTGAAGTAGTAAAGATTCCAAAAATAGTCATGAAGTAAATTGTAGTTAATTATCCATCTAATCAATCCTCAAAGGTGAGTCTGCATATTCTGAAAGAAAAGAAACAATTAATATATTTAATATTAAATAATATTAAAAAATAACCAAATTCATTAAGAATTGAATATAAATTATTACCTTCTTCAACTTGCTCAATTTTCTGGACTTCCTCTAACATGTCTTCAAACTTATATTCCTTGGAAGGTGATCGTATCCATTGTTGAGTGCAAATAAGAGCTTCTACTATTTTTGGTGATAAAGAACTCCGATAAGAATCTAAAATTCGACCACATGTACTAAAAGCTGACTCTGATGCAACAATAGAAATAGGAATAGAAAGAACATCCCTTACAATCTTTGAAACAATTGGATATTTACTAGATGAAACTTTCCACCATGCTAAGATATTAAAATCCTTGATCTTCACCACATCATCCATCAAATATATCTCAAGATCAGACTATTTTGTAATATTTCCCTCATCTTTCAAAAGTTTCTCCCACTTAGATTGCAACAAATCACCAACTTCACTCATACTAGTATCGCCTCCAATATTATCATTATAAGCCTAAAAAAAGAATCATTGTAGTTATTATACAAGCGAGTTAAAACACTTGCCACATCTTCAAACTTCAATCTTCCCAACAAAGAACCAAATGCATCGGTAAGAATGAAGTTCATATACTCCATCTTCTATCTAGGATCCAACACAACAGCAACAAGCAATAATATATTCATATCCTCAAACTTACCCCAATATTTCTTAAGTTTACTTTTCATTCTTCCCGCCATATCATTCAAAATATGATCATCGCTTTTGGTATATTTTATAATAACATTTCAAAGATTGAAAAATTCACGGAAGAAAGAGTTGGAAGTAGCATATAAACTGCCTGAAAATTTTAAAGTTGTCTGATAGAAAATGTTAAGAAACTTGATAAAAGCTTTCACATTCTTCCAGTCGTCTGCAGATGGATTTTCTCTTAAAGCACTTATTTCTCGACAATACTTTTGGTACTTATGGCCTTCCACATATATTTTTATAAAGGTTTTTTCAAATTTTACAGTTGTATCTAACATTGTATATGTTGAGTTCCATCTTGTTTCAACATCAAGACTCACAAGACCTTGAGTATCTATCTTAGCTTTCTCAATAAATGACTTGAAAGAAGCAAACCTTGAAGGAGAAGACCTAACATATTTCACAACATTTGTTACATGAGTAATAAGATCAATTTGTTCATCTAACCCATCTTTTACAATCAAGTTCAAAATATGAGCATTGTATCTAACATGCAAAAACTCATTTCTAAGTATTACCCCTTTCCAATTATCAATATGCAACTTCAAATGCTTAATGGAAGCATCATTAGCACTTGCATTATCCAAGGTCATTGTAAACACGTTCTCAATTCCCCAACCAAATAAACATGTTTCAATTCCCTTAGCAATAGTGTAACGATCCGACTTGTCGTTTTAAGAATTAACGCCTTATTCAGTGACTTAAGGTCTCGAGTAGCTTCGCAATATGTGTTATGACCCGCGGGTGTGGTCGAGTTTGATTTACTAAAGATTCGGAATTTAATTAAAAGAACAATCCTTATTTAGAAGCTTAAATAAAAAGAATTGACCGGAGAGTTGGCTTTTGAGCAAACGAAGCCAGAATGGAATTTTGATGATCTCAATATCTCCGTATGATAATTTTGGACTTAGGAGTGTGTCCGAAAAATTATTTGGAGCTCTGTAAAGGAATTTGGCCTGAAATGGCGAAACATGAATTTTTGGGAAGTTTGACCGGGGGTTGACTTTTTTTATCGAGGTAAAAATCCGATTCTAAAAATTTGAATACCTCCGTTAGGTCAATTATGACTTGTGTGCAAAATTTGAAGTTATTCCGAATTGATTTGATGTGTTTCGGCACAAGATATAGAATTTGAAAGTTCAAAGTTCATAAATTTTGATTTGAGACGTGATTCATCGTTTTGATATTATTTGATGTGATTTGAGGATTCGACTAACTTTGTATGATGTTTCAGGACTTGTTGGTGTATTTGGTTGAGGTCCCGGGGGCCTCGGATGTATTCCGGATTGTTAACGGACTAGAATCGGGCTTGGTGTTATAGCTGAAGCATCAGATTTTGCTAATGCTGGTTTCCTTCTACGCGTTCGCGTAGAGGAAGTTTGAGTGCTGCTGGAATTTGGCCTTCGCGTTCGCGATGTAGGTTCCGCATTCACGAAGGTGTGAAAATATGGGCATCGCGTTCGCGTGTTGGAGCTCGCGTTCGCAAAGAGGAAGAAATGGCAGCTGGGACCCCACATATTTGGTCTTCGCGTTTGCGAATGTGTTACGCGTTCACGAAGTTAAGGTCCAGATAGGCATCGCATTCACGAGTGAAGCCTTGCGTTCGCGAAAAAGACTTGAGGCAGCAGACTGACTTGTGCTACGCGAACACGAGAGGGGGGGCGTGTTCGCGAAGAAGAAAACTGCCTGGGTAGAATTAAAAGTCCCAAAAATGGGGGTTTGAGTTCATAACACAAAAATCAAATTGGGAGCTCGGTAGAAGGCAATATTTGGAGAGATTCTTGCATGGGTGTTTGGGGGTAAGTGATTCTTATCCATTTTTGATTAATTTTTATAATTATGCCTTTGAACCCATCATTTAATTCGGATTTTAATGGAGGAAAATCAAGATTTTTGCAAAATCTTCCTAAAACAAAAATTTAAGATTTGGAGGTCGAGTTGTTATTGGTATTCAATAAAATTAGTATGGTTGAACTTGTATCGGAATGGGTGTTCGGATTTCATGAAAATTATGTCGGGTTCCGAGGGACGGGTCCTGTGTTGACTTTTGTTGACTTTTTGGAATAAATTTTTAAGTCGGCGTATTATTATCCGGAATTATTTTCGATAAATTTTAATGAAGTTATGCAATTAATTTAGATAGATTTGAGTTGTCCGGAGGTCAAATAAAGTAAGAAGGCAATTTTGGAATATCAACATAACTTCAAAAAGGTAAGAGTGTTGCTTAACCTCGAGTGGGGGAATTACCCCATAGGCATCGAGTCTTATGTGCCATTTGTGAAATATGAAAAGCCGTATACGTGAGGTGACGAGTATGTACTCGGGCTTATATGTGCAAAATTCATTAAGATAAAGTCTTAGGCATATTGTATAGTAAATTGGATAATTGTTGGCATATATTTAATCATCTATTTGTCGTACCTAAATCTTTATTGTTGAATCTGTTGTTATATGACAATTTGATGTGATTGTTACTTGATTATTTATGTAACTCCGTGAATTTGTTGGTTTGATAATTATTGGAATTTAATTTCATTATGGATTTTTCCTCTGCAAATAATTAATTAAATGAGTTTAAGAAGAGGTGTTTATATAATTATTGAGAATTTGGATTAATGAAGGCTTTGCTTTATGCTGAATAATTTCTATCTCTGTTGATTGTTTTGGGGGGTGTTATACACATTGTGTGGAGCCTTCGGCTATTTGATGTGAAAGTAATTGATTTGGTTGTATCTTTGTAATTTTGGTTGTGGCCATTGGGCAAATTGTGATATGAATTGATTTTGTTATGTTTCCGGAATAATTTTTCATGTAAATTGTTGTGTTGTGTGAGTTACTATTTTGAGGAGATAAAGGTGGCATTTTACCGTTGATATTATGTGGGTATAAGGGTGGCATTTCACGGTTGATGTGTTTGTTGGAATATTGTCTGGGCAAAGCGATAAGGGCGGTATAGGAGCGATAAGGGTGACTATTGATATTATGAGGGCAGAGCGATAAGGGTGGCTATAGGAGAGATAAGGGTGGCTATAGGAGCGATAAGGGTGACTATTGATATTATCATGGCAGAGTGATAAGGGTGGCTATTATAGGAGTGATAAGGGTGGCTATAGGAGAGATAAATGTGGCTATTGTCAGGGACGATATGTGATGATGTGGAGTCGTGGTGTTGGTGATTTTTATGTTATGTTATGATTTTCTTGTGTTTATTTTTATACCTTGTGCAATTTGTCTTGTTGTTGGTAAATTAATAATAATCTGATTTATGTTGAAATTGAGAACCTGTGGCTATTGTCAGGAGGATTATAAAATGAAGTGTGGGCACGAGGTGCCGTAAGTAAATAATGAGGATATTGACACGTGAATTATCCGTGCAGTTATGATATGAAATGAGGGCACGATGTGCCGTGAAAATATGAAAAATGGGCTGAGACCCATATATTTTATGATTATGAAATGAGGTGTCACATGGTGACTTTTTAATTTGAAAGAATTATATTCAAAATATTTATTTGGAAGGATCATTATTTAGAAAGTATTATATGAAAGAATTATATTTGAAAAAGATTTATTGAAGGAATTATACTGGAAAGATATTTATTTGAAGAAATTATATTTGAAAGAGTTTTATTCGTAAGAAGTATATGTGAAAGATATTTAATAGAAGGACTTGATTTAATTGGATGTAATTGTATTTATTAATTGTTAAGCGATATTGATGGTGTTCTTGTTGTCTTGTTGTGCATATCACTAGTTGTTTTATGTTACCCTTATTGTTATTTGCTTCCTATTATTTTGTATATTATATATCACAGGCTATTAGACTAGTGAGTGTCTTGACTGTACCTCATCTCTACTCCACTGAGGTTAGTCTTAATACTTACTGAGCACCGACCGTGGTGTACTCATACTACACTTCTGTACATTTTTGTGCAGAGCCAGGTATTGAAGATATCGGATTTGAGCAGAGTTAAAGCGGGATCGTAAAGATTCAAGGTAGAGCTACTTGGTCGTCGCAGTCCCTTGGAGTCTTTTCATTTCATTGTACTGTTAATTTTTTATAAAACAGTATTGTATTTTCTGTCCTCGTGATCATTCCGTGTATTCAGTTAGAGTTCGTGACTCAGTACTACCAGTCTTGGAAGGTTGTATATTCATATTTGTTCGGCTGTTAGTTTCGATTATTTATTTAATTCAAAAAAAATGGCTTCAAAATGTAATTGAAATCGGCTTACCTAGTCTTAGAGATTAGGTGGCATCACGATGCCTGTGGTAGGATTTTGGGTCGTGACAAATAGTCTCACCTTTGTGATCCAGTGTTGGAAAAAAGTTTAAAATTTTCTTTTGTAGATTCCATTGATCATCTATCCAATGTGCAGTGACAACCATATAAGTTAAGTTTTGCAGTGATGTCCATGTATCACTAGTGAGACATATACGTTGGTTCTTAATAAGATTTTTAAGTTTTTCCTTCTCTTCCTGATAAATCCTCAAACAATGTCTAGCAACAGTTACACGAGAAGGTAATTCAAAATTAGGTAAGGCTTTAGCCATTAATTTCTTAAATCCTTCTCCCTCAACAATTCTAAAAGGTTGCTCATCAAGAATTACAAATTCGGCAATCGCCCTCCTAATGTCATCCACATTATACACTATCCTTTCAGTAGCACCCGAACCACCTTCTAGCCACCCTTCTTTGATAGGTTTTAATGTTGATTGTCTCTTATCAATGACTCTAACGGGAGATTTGTGACATGTAGCATTTAAATGCGACCATAACGTAGTAGTCTCATTCTTGCTACCTGCAACAAATGTTTTAGGACAATAATTATATTTTGCTTTACATTTACCTCCTTTAACAATAAATTTGGAGAAGTGATTCCAAATCCCGGACATCTCTCTCTTACTATTCTCAGATTTAGAATTTTCTGATGGAGTCGTTCTTTTTTTCTTTTTAGGGGGAGTGCGTCGATGATGAGTATCTTTACTTTGTTATTGAGCTGCCACTGGTGAAGGATTATTAACAACCACCTACGCATCTATTTGAGAAGTTGTAGTTTCCATTCGGATAAAGAGTTCCTGCAAATAGAACATATTCAGTTACTATTTAACTCTCTTAAAATAAAAGAACGATGGGATGTAAGCTATGATAAAATTAAACTTCTCTATACTCAATATCTTTTTAAGTAATAGTATAGTGAACTCAAGTTAATCATCTAATAGAAACAAAATGAACAAATGAATTCGACAATAGGGAGGAATACAATAGATTTGTAAAAAAACTCGCTAATCGGAAAAAGAAAACTCTTAGTTAATCGGAAAAAAGCAAAGCGTATGTACGCAACTAAAAGAAAACATGTAAAATGAGAAAGGGAAGAGCCTTACCGATGAGAGCAAAAGAGAGTTGATAGGGTTTGAGCTAATTTGGTTTGAGCTAATTGGGGTTTTTGGAATGGAACGTAGGGTTTCTTGCCTTTGGAGAAGAGGCAAAATGGTTTCAATTATTTTATTGTTTTAGAACTAGTTTAGGACTAGTCTAGTTGTGCTTTAAGACTAGTTTTTTGGTTTGGGCTTAATTATTCTTTTATGGGCCAGACAAAAAAATATAGTTACATGGGCTATAAAACTAACTTAAAATATTATGCTACATATAGAAATTATAAAAAAAAAATTAAGAAATATTTATAACTTGCATTCTAATAAGTATTTTTAGCTATCTAATATATAAAATATGTATACATGTAATGTCGGGTTGGTTTGGTTTCGGTTTGACTTTTTTTAGTTAATACCAAACTATACCTATTATGGTCGGGTTTTATTTTTCAATACCAAACCAAGTCAAACCAAACTACTAGTCGGATTTTTTTTCCGATTGACTCGGATTATCGATTTGGTTTATACATCACTACTTTTAGGTAGAATTCCTTCAAAACTTTGCTTTTGAATCTATCTAGTGTAACATTTCATTCTTGATGTCAATTGCCAGTTTATTTTTTTATTTAAATTTGTGTATTTCCTAAATGAAGTCTTCAACTTATTATCTTTCCCAAAAACTTATAATAGTAAGGGAGGAAGGGTTTACATAGCCGTAGAAAAGATTTATCCTTACAAAAATATATTCGATACTTTATTTTTTTAATTCACTACTTACTTACTAAGTTAAAACACCTGTATTCACCAATCTTATTTCGCGGAAAATATTCAACGAAAAAGTTTTAATTATTATATTAACATAAGTAGCAGTATACATTTTCAACTAGGGTTCAATAGAAACGTGGAGTCGAACAAAAGCATAGGCAATACTCATGATTCTAACAGCTTGTTTGGATGGTTGTTACCTATCGTATTGTATCATATTGTTACTTTAAATATAATATTTGTTTTGATTGTTACTTTAATTTTATTGTATCGTATCGTTAAATCCATCGTTATGTAACGACGAAAAGTGTAACTTTATGAAACGACACATTTGGTGTGTTAGCGTCGTTTCTTTATTTTTTTCCACTCATCTTGCCCTTCTTTATTATTAAATAATTATATTTTATTATTTATCCTACTTTTTATATATTAATTCTACTATGTATCATATTTTTTTCTTAGTAATGTTGCAAGTTTATTCTTCATATTGTTAGTGCGTAACATCATGAAATAGCAAACGATACAATCTATCCAAACATTGTATTCATCAAACAATACAATACATTATGAAACGACATGTAACAACAATCCAAACAAGCTGTAAAGGTATAAGACCAAACTGTCAAATAAAAATAGACAAATAGGAGCAGCTTTGTAGCTTTGGTCACAGTCTCACTTTTTTTTAACCCTCCCAAATTAGAAAGATCTACAGTATTTTCACACTTCTCATCCAAAAGTGATTCGAACCCAAGACGTAATGGCCGTGGGTGAATGCGCTTTTACCAATTGAGCAAGTCTCACTTGTTAGTAAGTCTCACGTAGGGGTGTTCATGGTTCGGTTTGGGTCGGTTTTTCCCTAAAAAGAAACCAAACTAAGTAAGTCGGTTTTTCAAATATTGGAACCAAACCAAACCAATTAAGTCGTTTTTTTATCGATTCGGTTTTTGTCGGTTTTTCGATTTTTTTGTCGGTTTTTTCTTAAATATGAGACATACACTACCAAACGCATATTCCGGCGAGTACATTTTCAACGTAACGCTATCAAATCAATTGCTCTTTGAGAAATCTATCATTTACCAAGATATATTGATGATAATTGACTCAAATAGTGATGAATAACTTAAGTACTCAATTAAAAATCGATTATTTTTAACATAAAATAAATTTTTGTACTTAATAAAAGAAAGCTACCAATCAAACTACAAGGCAAAGAATTAGATTATTATAATAGCAAAGAACTAGACTAAAAATATAAATGACTAATATGTACCATAAAATTTTAGAAACTTTATAAAAAAATATACATATATATAGGTGTAATAATATATTTAAATAGCTACTTTTATAGTCGGTTTGGTTCGGTTTTTTTTTTTTATTAAAACTAAAACCAAACCAAATTTGATCGGTTTTTAAAATTTAAAACCAAAACCAAACCAAACCTAAAAATATTAGTTTTTTTGGTCGGTTTGGTTTGTGGTTTTCGGTTTGGTTCGATTTTTCGGATTTTTATGAACACGCCTAGTCTCACGTAGATGTTCAAATGCGGGATAACGTGTCCGTAATATTGCAAACTGCATGAGGCCATGTGTCATTATAGTAGTCATACGGGGAGGTTTTGTAAATTAATACTTGGAATTTAAAAGAAAAAAAGAAAGGCTCTCAAATGGGGTTTAGGGTTTACTACTATCCTTAAAAAAAAAAAAAAAAAAATATGAACCTGCAATCTGCTTGTTCTTTGCTTCAACATGAAGCTTCAATCCCCAAATGTTCTCAATTCCAGTTTCACAATGTAAGTATTTTTTTTTTAGCCTATAGCTATCTGTATATACACTTGTAAAATTTTGTTAATTCTATTTAGGTTTCTGTGTCATCTCTGGTGCGGAAGAACAATGGCAGAAGCTATGTTCGATTGGAGAAAAGAAACCCTTTTGCTCAAAACGGTTTGAAATGTAAATTTCCTTTTTTTTTTTTCAATTTCCTCTGCTGGATTTTATTTTATTGCTTTAAAGATATATTTTGGGTTGAAATGTAAATTTTCTCGTTTTCTTTGCAATTTCCGCTGTCGAATGCCTATTATTGACTTAAAGATAGTATTTTGGGTTGAAAATGTAAATTTCCTTGCTTCCTTTCAATTTCTTTTTTGGGTTTTATTTTGTTGCTTTAAAGATAATATTTTGGGTTGAAATGTAAATTTTCTTGTTTCTTTGAAATTTTCCTCTGTTGGAGTGTCTATATTGCTTTAAAGATACTATTGTGCGTAGTTGGAATGCAAAGTTCCTTTCTCTCTTTCTAATTTCCTCTTCTATGTACCTCTATATTGCCTCAAAATATAGTCTTTTTTGCTTTGCTTCAATATGGTCTATTTTTTACTACAGTTATTCCATCACTGAAGAAGGGGTTGATAGTGTATGCCTCTAATTCTAGTCCTCCGGAGAAGTTAAATTATGATGGCAGGGAAAGTAGGAGTGTAAGCGTAATCGCCAGTAATGGGTCTGAACCATTTCGGGGTAAATCGGGTTCTGTTTCATTCCACGGGCTTACTCACCAACTGATCGAGGAAAGTAAGTTGGTGTCAGCCCCTTTTGAGGAAAAAAGAAGCTCCTTTCTCTGGGTTCTTGCTCCTATTGCGTTGATCTCTTCTTTAGTGCTTCCTCGGTTCTTCATTGCTGTCGCAGTTGATGACTTAATCAAGAACGCGACCTTTGCAGGTATGTAAAAGGTTGAGTTAGAAGTTGGTTGTTATTTTATATATGCTGATATCTGTAACCATTGACTGGATATGCAATTCGTGGTGCAGACTAATCTAGTGATTGGATATATAAATTTGTAGAAATGATGTTAACCAATCATCAGCTTTGAATGTTTTGATGGTATAATGAGGAATAATTTAGTCAAACTTTGTAACTTGATTTAGGATATCTCCCTTTCAGATTAAAGGAACAATTTTTTTAGCTTGTCAATGAACAAAGAAGTGGGACAATGCTAATTTCTTAAGCTTGAATGTTGTGGTTATCTAGCTGATACCTATTAAATACTCGTCTTATCAAGGGAGGTACTCCGATCATGAACTGTCTGTCTCTCTTGGGATAACGCATATAAGTTCCTATGGTTTGTTAGCAATCATCTATTCTATTCATTCACGGAGAGTAGAAGCTACTAGCTCAGACAATTAAAATGGTTAATTAGATACATCCCCACTAGATGTAATTAGCAGTATGCTCTAAGCTGATGGAAAACAAGATTTAAGTGTCTCAGAAGATTCCTCTGCTTTTATGTTTATGATTGTTGTATCAGCTGCATGTAGTAAAAATGCCCAACTTTGAATTGTAGGTTAAAGTGTTACTTGGGGCTAGCTGGATACGTTCTGGTAATTATGATAGTTTTAATAGGCAAGCTCGGTTGATGTGTAGCTTGCTTGTTTAAGCTGTTAAGCAACAACATTATGATATCTTGAATATTGATATTATTGTCAGTTTTCTTCCACCTAAAAGCATCTTGCTGGTCGAAGAGTCGTATCATGTAATAGAGTCTCTTCCTATTTTACCATTACTAGAAGGTAGCATGTTATCAGATCGTTAGAACTGAGATTTTCCAAATTGTATGAGCCATGGGATTGTGAACATAGTTAGATGAACACGATTAGCTGCACCTGCTTTTATACATGTCCAAAAGTTAATGAAATCTACATGTCTTTGCAGAAATTGTGTCTTCATTTTTCTCTGAGGTCATGTTTTATATTGGCCTTGCGACATACCTTCGGGTCTCTGACCACGTTCAGAAGCCATATCTACAATTCAGTGCAAAGAGATGGAGCCTCATTACTGGGCTAAAGGGATATATAACATCTGCTTTCTTTGTAATGGGGTTTAAGATTTTTGCCCCGCTCTTTGCTCTTTATGTTACCTGGCCTTCACTTGGCTTGCCAGGCTTGGTTGCAGTGGCTCCTTTTCTGCTTGGCTGTTTGGTACAGTATTTATTCGAGAGATTTCTTGACAGACATGAATCATCTTCATGGCCCGTGGTGCCAATTATTTTTGAGGTATGCATAATGCTACTCTTTTCCTTTTTCATTTTCGGGGTAGTAGAACAGGAATTGAGGATTTCGAATATGTGCAGGTTTACAGAATATATCAGTTGACAAGATCCGTACATTTTGTGGAGAAGCTGATGTTTGCCATGAGCGGAGCTCCTGTCACGCCCGAGTTGTTTGATAGAAATGGTGCATTGGTTGCTTTGATAGTGACTTTCCAAGTCTTAGGAATAACTTGCTTATGGTCGTTGCTTACATTTCTTCAAAGGCTCTTTCCTTCCAGACCTGTTTCTGAAAACTACTAATCTTTGTAGATGAAGAGATGTTGATCCTTTTCTCATTTGTCTTATAGAAACTTTGGGTTGCATTAGTTCAAATTATCTGATGCAGTATTTGGTCCTGATACCACTTCTTTTTTGAGCTACTTATTACTGGCAGAATTTTGGTAAATGACTTGCATATCGAAACCGAGGGTCTTTCAGAAACAAGCTCTCTAACCCTAATAAGATAGGGGTGAGGTCCGTGTACAAACTACCATTCCCGGACCCCACTTGTGAGATTTCACTGGGTTTGTTGTTGTTGTTGACTTGCAGATCGAAACCAGACAGGAAGCAAACCATGTTGTAGCTCCAGATCACATAGAAACGGAGCCACAGAACAAATGTCCAAATAAAACAAAAGAATTTTCTACCACATTACACCTAGTAAACAAGTTTGTTACTTATCCAAAAAGGAAGAAGACAAGTATGTTTTAGGAATAATGAGTTTGATGACAATAAACACTTAATCTGTGACATACATGTTGGATACGCACCAGCATCCATATTAAAGTATCAATTGCAAAATTGCAAGTTCACAATTTAGATTGATCAGACAAATGACTTGAAAAGAAAAAATTGCAACTAATCTGATCATTCTCTGTATAATCTCTTGAATAATTTCGCCTTCAAGAATAAGTCTTTTCCCTAATCAAGCCAGGAGAAGGGTTTCTCTGCTAGAATTTAAGACAGGTGTAGGTATACAATGGAGATCAACTTGGAAAACTTCACAAAACTCCTTAACTAAAGATTTATGAGCAATATCAATGAGTTGGACATCATCAGCGTCTTGATGGTTTTCTGTAGAGACCGGGAACTCCTTCAGCAATCCCTTTATGCTTCCAACTTGACGATCACGGATCCCACATGGAACTATCTGCTGAAAGGGTGCCAGATCTGTGGTGACATTCAGCGCTAGGCCATGATACGTGACCCATTGAGATACTCTGATACCAATTGCAGCTAATTTGCGACCCTCTGAAAGAAGCCAGTGTTAGACCAGTATTTCATGCCTCCCTTCAGAATTAAGAGATGTAATAATAACAGTACAGAAAACTTGAGGGTTAAAAAAAGGAAGAAGAAAAGGTTCATGTGCGAGGTGTGAGGAACGGGAAAAACAACAATGTAATTGAGTTGAAATGGCCAGCTTCCTTGACTAGCCAACTCCTACGAGAAAATGTTCTAAATCACCAATGCAATTCACATGCCCCAGAGCACGTGAGGGACCTTCAATACAAAACATTTAACGAACTATTTTCACCTAAACCTCTATAACCACAGCATCTTAAACTCTTGTCAAGAAATATCTGATAATACCATTGCCGACTGATATAGGCCATCCAAATGATATGAAAATTCAGAACTTACCAACCCAAACACCAGTTAAGCCATCAATTCTGGAAGCCTCCATAGAAAATGATGAAGAAAGAACTCGTATGATCACCTCCTCAAGGCTCCTGAGGTACCAATGAAGGTCCATCTTATGATATCGAAGATTGACGATTGGGTACATAACTAGCTACAATTTCAGATAAAAGCATTATATGTCAGAAATGTAAGAGCTCAAACGAACACATCATTCTTCTACTTTCGAAGTCTTTAAGCACATACGCAAATCCTAAGTAATACATTTCAAAAAGGGGAAACCTAACGCCATCTCAACATCCCTGCCCCAGCAGTTATCCACTGGAGTATAACAGCAGTCTTGTCAAAGCCCCATTTTGACTTACAAACATCTGATTAGAAAACTTAGAATAGACACTTTGCAAGTCCTTGAATCAATGTCATCAAGCATTAAAAACAACCTATTCAGTCGGTAGAGGAGTATACTATGAAAAATGAGGATCAGACTGCATCAAGATAGTTGGGGAAGTAGGCAGCAAGTGAAATGTACCTGACCAGGGCCATGGTAAGTTACTTCACCTCCACGTTCTGTTCGATACAATTCAAAAGGAGCATTCTTTATGTCAAAATGTAGATTCTCCTCAGAACTACCAGTACCCAACGTATAAACCGGCTGATGCTGCAATACAATGAGTGTGTCCGCAAGATCCTCATTCCTTTCAATTTGTGCTTTCCTCTTGTCGACAATGGCCTTTTGCCAAGACCACGCATTGGCATATGGAACTAGCTCTTTGTACATATCATAACAAGCACAGCTAGCGTCAAGAACAGAGTTAACCTAGTGAAAACCCTTAGAATTGCACAGAAACTGATCGTCAAATTGTCAAAGAAAATCTTACCATCTTTTGGCTTGACATCTTGTTAAAGTCAGCCTCCTAAAGATGGGTGTACTAGAGTATTGCTTACTCTTTGATGGGTTGCACAGTGGCCATGTTGGGGATAAGCCAAACACTGAACTTGCCAAAACAAGCATTTCTGCAAGATATAATTGGAAACAGATGAGCAAGAATTAAGAAGAGAAGCCCATTTATCTCAAATTGTAAATAACCTTCCCTTTTAACCAAAATACAAATTCAATAAATCAGGGATGGATCCAGAGATAGAGTTATCTCAAATTGTCCCGAGGCAATGATAGAGAAGCAGATGAGTGCCGTCAAATATATGAATGCTTCTATCTACTCGAAAGGCTCAAGTGCTCAAATAAGATAAGATATATACATTCATTAAGCAAATATTAAGCTAGCGTTGGCCATAGATTCCCAAATTTATTCTGAAAAATCTGATTTGGGTGAAGTTTGGTTTGAAGATGAAAATGTGTTTGGACATCTGTTTTGGGTGAAGTTTGGTTTGGAAAAACATGAAACATGACTTATACCCATAAGTTCTAAAAACTATCATAAATACCCAACAGTACCATTATCAATAACATTCATTATATTATCACAAACCATAGTCCTGAACATAAATAAATTTGATATAAAATCATCATTTTTACAATGAACTACATGATACACTATCAGATGACCGAGAAGACGAAGCAACATCGTTACAAAATAATAAATGGTAGGCTCTTTTATAAAATAAAAAAGTCGGGGGCAATTTTTAAAGAATATAATAGTGATATTTTGGCTCAAAACCAGCTATTTTGGGATTTGAGCTGGATTTGGGATTTGGGATTTGGGATTTGGCCAAAATATAGGCAAAATCTATGGCCAAACATGTGTTTGCCAAATAAAACCTAAGTTTATTTTGGCAAAATCTATGGCCAAACGGGTCCTAAGAGGCAAGAAACTCAGCATAACAACACCCTTCGACAATTTGCTCTGGTGAGAGAAAACAGAAACTATAGCCATCACGGACGTGGTGCAAGTAATCAGTATGGTTTACTGGATTAAATTTAGCTTAATCCTAATACATTAATTTTTGCTAGTAACTGTTTTAAACGAGACATTTATTTTTAATTTATCTGCAGCCCAGTTAGCCTCTTACTATAGGCCACCGTCTCCCTTCTTTTTTCCTGTTCCCTGATGTGTTTCCAATCGTCAGGGAATTGAAATACAAAACTTGAATAATTGATTCTTGTATGTCAATGTGCTGATATGAAATTTTAGAAGAGTTTTGCAGGCTTTTATTTCAATTTTTCAATATTTGATGCAGATTTTTATCTGAAGTTCAAGAGCATGACAAAGAAAACCAAAAACTTTGAGAAAATCTCAACAACTTTCCAGTTCAGCTCAATTAAGAATACAATGGACGGGCATAGTATAACAGATAGCATAGAGGAAATTCACAGAAGCAGTTAATTCGAGAGGAAGAAACCAAGGAGAGAGGAAACAATAAATCAGTAACAAACATATGGTAATGAAAAAGAAGAAAAAAGGATTAAACTAAAGAGAAAAGATTCGCATTAGAAGAATCTGACAATATTACCTTGCTGAAAAGTTTGCGAACTGAGTTTCGAATCAGCAAATGATATGCGGACAAGAAACTAGAAATCCTTCGGAGAAACCAAAGTCACCCAAAATTCTTTTACTACCGAACTCACTACTCTTTCTAGATCTGTAGGTTCGGTTAGTAGTATTCACTATTCAGTTGCTTAATGGAATGTCAAGCCCTTGACAAAAAGAAAAATGGTGCTACGAATGTCATTTATGGTTTATTTACAATTTTTTATATGTAAAAATAAAAATTTCATGAGAATTGATTTTTTTTTTTAATTGTAATGGGCCACAAGCTCAATTAACCCAAACTAACATACATACACGGAAGGGATGGAAGTGTAAAAATTGCACGGGGCGTCCTATTTGGTCGCCCCCATTTAACCTATACCTACTTTTTAAAAAAGTTTTAACTTGTACTCACTTTTTAAACAACTTCAGGCCTCTTTCTCCTCCTCCTCCTTCGTTTTCTGAATGCTGAATCTTGAGATATTGTTATGCGTTCTAGTCATATATATCTGCTTGTCCCATTATGTTCAGTTTGGTCTTATTCACAATAATTTAACTTCTTAGATATTTTAGCTTTACAGGCACATTGGTTTTTGGTTCTAATTTATTTGTAGTAACTTGTTTTCATGTCGAAAATATTTTTCATTCTTTAATCTTTGAAATGAACAGCATCAATCGCTGCTAATCATGATCTATTAAATTTCTTGTTGTTTAGTACTATTTCGTTTATGTACAATAAGTTCTTTTGTTGAATTCTTTTTTTAAAAGTTTATCTTCCTCATTTCCGTGTGCAGACTTAGAACTTCAGCTCTAAGAATGCTGAAATTCAACAAATATAAACAAAAACTTCAGCTCCTAGAATGTTGAAGTTCAGCAAATACAAAACAAACTCCAGCCCTAGAATGCTGAAGTTCAGCAAATATAAACAAAAGTTTCAGCTCCTAGAATGCTGAAGTTCAGCAAATACAAAACAAACTTCAGCCCTAGAATGCTGAAGTTCAGCAAATACAAAACAAACTTCAGCCCTAGAATGCTGAAGTTCAGCAATTACAAAATAAATTTTAGCTCCTAGAATGCTGAAGTTCAACAATTACAAAACAAACTTCAGCTCCTAGAATATTGAAGTTCGGCAATTACAAAACAAAATCTTCAGCCAAAACATGTTGTAGTTTTATTGAGCTAAAGTTTGCCATTGCACTATGAACTGAAGTTCAAACTTCAGCTTCTAGAATGCTGAAGTTCAGCAATTACAAAATAAAAACTTCAGTCAAAACATGCTGTAGTTTTATTGAGCCGATGTTTGTCATTGCACTATGAACTGAAGTTTGCGTGATTGCCTTTGCAAGTCAGGCCAAACTTCAGGCAAAAATATCTGAAGTTTTGCTACACTTCAGGCAAAATATTCTGAAGTTCAAACATTAGACATAAATTTTTGTTACTTCAGGCCCGTATGTCTGAAGTTACTCGAAAAGTGGGTACGCTTATAATTTTTTTTGCAAAGCGGGTATAAGTTAAAAGTTGACCCAAAAACTAGGTATAAATGCAAATGCCCCGATGGAAGTAAACTTGCAAAATANGGTCATGGGTCCATTCGAATAAAAATTCACTAAACAAATTGTATAAGGCCGAAAAAGATTTCGGCCTTTCTACGTTCGATCGAGTCCGAATGGTCTGCAACCGGAGTGGAATTTTGGGATGAGTCCCGAAGATAGTACAAACGAGCCTCAAGTTCCAAAGACTGATCGGGGAGTCGGCTCGATACTATTATCGAGCCCACGACCAAGTCGATCTGCAAGACAACGTGAGGGTAGTCGAAAATGCGCTACACCCACCCCGAAGGTCGAACTCAAGCCAAAGTCGAGGGCTCGACCCAATAACAAGTTCGAGCCCGTATCGAGCTCGCAGACAAGAGCCGTTACAACCACACTAAGGGAGAGAATCTTGGCGGGAATCTAGGAAGAGACAATTCATCATGGGTTCTCCACTATATATTTTTTTATTGTGAATAAAGTAGGATCCCTCTACTATAAAATGGAGAATCCTTGTAAGCATAAGGCAATCTGACACACTGTAACAAAAGATCACTTCTCATATTGAAAGATATCCCCTTATGCTAATTTTACTTTATCTTATTCATTATTCTTGCTCACTATTCTCATCCTCATAGTCAAGAACATAGATATTACTATTTCTCTATACGGTTTGTATCAATTTATATCACATATCTTTAGAACCATATTCAAATTTAACTTTATCTGATTTTTCGGGTAAACAGTTTGGCGCCCACTGTGGGGGCTAAGGATAATAGTGATTGTTTGATATAAATCTGCAATACACACCAGTTTACAACTTCGAATCAGCAATGGCTTTACCTATCGACCACGAAGCCGGCCTTCAAGATGAAACCAACAACTTGGTACCCGGGGCCGAAATCGAAGCTCAAATCAAAGTACCTAAAATTCGGGCCGAAGTACCGCTAGATGTCAATTCGCAAGTGGCTCTTGAGGCAAACCAACATTCTGAACCGGAAAAAAGCATTCAGGGCGGTACTCGATCCGTAGCTCGAGACACCCATAACGTGGAGGAAATCGGAGTCAGCTTACGTATGATCTTCGAGATGTTACAAGCCCAAAAAGTAGCGATAGATCAGTTGTAGAGCCAAACTCATATACAAAGCAGGCCAGATCCCAATCCGCTTCGAGAAATCACCCCCAGAACGAAGCCCGCCATAGTTAAATCAAACGAGCAAGAATCGGGGACCACTCCCGAAATTACTAAATTGCTCGAGGAACTCACAAAATGAGTCGAAGCCAACGACAAGAGAGTGGAAACATACAATGCCACGGTCGATCAGATCCCGGGAGCTCCGCAAATGATAAAAGGGCTGGATTCGAAAAAATTCATACAAAAGCCTTTTCCCTCAAGTGCGGCCCCAAAACCAATCCCAAAAAATTTCCGTATGCCCGAAATTTCCAAATATAACGGTACGACCGATCCCAACGAACATGTCACCTCTTACATATGTGCCATCAAGGGTAAAGATTTGGAGGACGATGAGATCGAATCCGTATTGTTGAAAAAGTTTGGGGAGACCCTCTCGAAGGGAGCGATGATTTGGTATGACAATCTGCCACCAAATTCCATCGATTCTTTTGCCATGTTAGCAGATTCGTTCGTAAAGGCACATGCTGGTGCCATAAAGGTTGCAACAAGGAAATCAGACCTCTTCAAAGTAAAGCAAAGGGGTAATGAAATGCTAAGGGAATTCGTATCCCGATTTCAAATGGAACGCATGGAACTGCCACCGGTCACAGACGATTGGGCCGTCCAAAATTTCACCCAAGGGTTGAACGAGCAAAGTTCAATAACATCACGTCGGTTGAAGCAAAATTTGATCTAGTATCTAGCAATAACTTGGGCAGATATACACATCCGATATCAGTCGAAAATTAGGGTCGAAGATGACCAGTTGGGAGCTCCGTCTGGATCCATGCATTAGAACAGGACAACTATTAAAAACCAAAGGGAGATCAACAGAGAACAAAGGTCGAACAGAGACCGATATCAACCGTACGTCGCAGAACGGATGAACAACGGTTCAACACGCAATATTGCTCGAAACAATCGAAGGAGTGATCGAGGGCAAAATTCTCGGGGGGGAGGGGGGTTATGAGCAAGAGTGGCTTTGATAAATATGATGATCCTATGGAGGCACCTCGGCTATCGGAGTACAATTTCAGCGTCGACGCATCGGGCATTGTATCAGCGATCGAAAAAATCAAAGATACGAGGTAGCCCAGCCCCATGCAAACCGACCCTTCCCAAAGGAACCCGAATTCGATGTGCAAGTATCATGGTATGCATGGCCACAGGACTGACGAATACAGACAATTGAGAGAAGATGTAGCCCGCCTATTCAATGAGGGCCACCTTCGAGAGTTGCTTAGTGACTGAGCTAAGAATCACTTCAGAGAAAGGGACGCCGGCAAAAGAGATAAACAGGAGGAACCTCTACATATTATTCACATGATCGTCGGTGGGGTCGATATTCCACCGGAACTCGTTCTCAAGTACGACAAGATACCAGCCATAGGGGAAAAATGAACCCGAGGTTATGCACCCGAGGGCACTTTATCATTTGGAATCGAAGAAGTCGAAGGCATCTCTCACCCTCACAACGATGCTCTGGTAATTTTGATCCTATTAAATAAAATTCAAATTGAGCGCATCTTAGTGGATCCAAGTAGCTCTGCAAATATCATCCGATCTTGGGTAGTGGAGAAGCTTGGTTTACAGAATCAAGTCGTGCCTGCAGCTTGGGTCTTAAACGGCTTTAATATGGCCAGTGAAACAACTAAAAGGGAAATTATTCTGCCCATAAATGTGGCTGGAACCATCCAAAACACCAAGTTCCACGTAATCGAAGGCGATATGAGGTACAATGCCCTACTTGGAAGACCATGGATCCACAATATGAGGGCTACGAAGGAAATGAAATTTCAAGTAATGAAATTTCAAATAATGCCCTTCGACTCTACAATGCCCTTCAACTCTACACCAAGTAATGAAATTTCATACGTCGGACGGCGTGAAGACACTGTACGGGGAGCAACATGCTACGAAGGAAATGTTTGCGGTCAATGAGATAACACTGATACCAACGACGTCGGCCTCAGAAAGGTCGAGCATAAAAAATAGGCAAGGAACCAAATAGCAATCACAACAACCGGTATCGACTGAATTGGTGAAATAGGAAATAGATGATAACAAGGAAGAATTTCCGACACCACGAGCTCTCATCGTCCCCGACGACACCGACACCACCAAGTCGATGATCGAAGAACTGGAGCAGGTTATATTAATCGAACATCTGCACGAGAAAAAGGTATACCTGGGTACAGGGTTGACCCCCGAACTCAGAGAAAAACTCATTCAATTTCTTATTAATAACATAAATTATTTTGCTTGATCCCATTTAGACATGGAGGGGATCCCACCCTCGATAACAACTCACCAGTTGAGCTTGGACCCTAGGTTCAATCCGGTGAAGCAAAAAAGAAGACCACAATCTGAGGTGAAACACGCATTCGTAAGAGATGAGGTAACTAAACTTCTCAAAATAGGGTTAATTCGAGAAGTGAAATATCCCGAATGGTTGGTCAATGTGGTTGTAGTCC